AAAAAAAAAAAAAAAAAAAAAAAAAAAAAAAAAAAAAAAAAAAAAAAAAAAAAAAAAAAAAAAAAAAAACAAAAAAATAAAAAAAAAAAAAAAAAAAAAAAAAAAAAAAAAAAAAAAAAAAAAAAAAAGTAAAAGTAAAAATAACCTTTTAAACTGGTAAATGTTTCGTCTATCATTTCATAAAAATTTTGACAGGTACATTCATAATTTAATCGAGTTCCCCTTCATGTCCATTGTGATTTTTGTTTTGATGGCAGTGTCATTCGATATAGGAATCTCTCTTATTTTCGGATGCTCGATTTGTGCGCACGCAATGTCAATGTACCTTTGATTTGTATGGCAAAAAAAGATGCCTCTGTTCATCGTGATTGCTACCGCTTTCGGTTAAAAGCACTTGTCGAAATTCCTTGGGCGCATTAATTGGGAAAGATCGGTACGAATTTTGACCGTTCATATGCACGGAGTGACCATAAGCAAGTACTTAAGGACGTACCGTAGCGTATGTATAGAATGCAGTATTTCGCCGGGTCACTTATTTCGTACGAAAATTGTTTTTAGGAAGCCGGCTAGGCAATGATCTACGAGATATTACCTTTTTCGCGTTGTTACTGGAGGATAGATTGATGGCCTCCAACGCTAGACAATTCAATTTATAGCAGTTCTATAGTATCATAGTGGTATCGTACAGACGTTTTTTTTTTTATGCGTCGAGTGATATACTCTTATTAACGCGGGGATTAGCCGTGGGGATATCAAACCTGTTTCCAGATGACAATATCAAATAATATTACTTGATACGAGGGAATGCAGTACGAGAACCAATCAAATGTCGCCATGGCTTCAAAATTGTGTTCGATATGTACTTTTTTGTCTCCGGACCTGGACTTTTGGTTCTTGTTATTGTCCTTGTTTTGTAAAAATTATTATACCAAAGAAAGCCAATGCCAGCAGATGTCAACATATAGCTAAATAGATATGAATTCAAGTTATGTTTAAGTGTATATTGCATTACAGGACCTCTCGCAGGTTATCTCGATTTTAAGAAAAATCATTTTTCATTGTTCCAACCATTCCGAGCCTCTCGTGAACTTTAAATGTCAAATTTCGAGTGAACTAAAGAAGTTAATTTATAGTGGGTGGTGGTGGTGGTGGTTGTGGGTTTAAGCTTTTCTTTTTCAATTGATGATAATCATTCTCTGTCCCTCCCATTATTTACCATTTATTTACACAAACATACACACATACACATACACAGGCATTTACTAAAACAAGTGAATTCAACAATCCAACAATGAAATAGATAGCTGGGAATTGTTTGAATAGCCAGGGAGAATGCAGTAAATCTCATTGTTATATTTTTTTGCACGTCCTGTATTCCATGCACCGTACTCCCTTATGATAAAGTAGCCTCCACCGTCACAAAAATTTTGGGTAAATAGGATTTCACCGAGAGAATGTCAGACCCTGTCACTCATCCCTGTAGCGCCAAGAATTTGACGATTGGCGTCGAACTTGCCTCGAATACTGGACCATGCATGTTCCGATCAAAAAGCAATGAGGTGGTATTGGAAAAAAATTGGTGCATGCTGGAAGTTTTCCAGAAAGCGGTGAATATCCATGCTAGTTGGAGAGTTAGAATGGAAAGCATGAGCATTGACGCGTGCGTGCGTGTATATCTCGACCTCTCTCATCGTTCATAATGATAATCCATAATTGCGTCCTCTTACTCATTCTCATTCAGGAATAATAGACATTCGTTTTAACCACCTTAATCCGTACAGTACGCTCAGTTAAACCCTTCAGACAAATATTTATCAAGTGTTGAACTATTTTTGTGCATAACAATATGTTGTCACACCTGTACACCAAGATACATAAACTGTTGCGTTGTGCCTATTGCCTATTAATGTGTTGGTCGAGTTGAAGCTGTCAATTGAACGCACATGTAATAATGTATATTGTATATACAGTATGCGCATACTGTATACTGTAAGTAATAATAGGAGGTGCTGTAGTACACACATACGCACACATACACATATACACACACACACACACACGCACACAGTACTGTATATGTATAACCAACCACCTCAACAAATCTCAAGTGTAGAGTTTATCTCAACTCTGTTTGGAATGTTTGATATTTGTATTACCTGGAGACAAACAAGTACCATACCGTTGATTCCTCCTTTCGTTACTACTTCGAAGGCGAAAAAAGAAAAAACGACAAATACGCATTCCGACAGGATGATTTTTCTTTTCATCCAGTCCCATCATCTATGCGCGTAACACAGCAGCGAATATCAGAGGGAAAAGGGTCAGAAAATTTATTGGCAAATAAAAAAAAAATGAATAAAAACAGCTGCAATTTAACTTTCTCACACAAACGACTAATGTTTCAGCTGTCGTTTTGTTGAGACGTTGGACATTCTCAATTCCTTTCGCGTTTCCATCTACTTTTTTATCTCGCAAGGAAGCTCCCTTGTTTATCTCATTACTATTATTACTTTGGTCATCTTTTATTTTTAAAAGAAAAAAAAAAAAGAAAGGAAGGAAGGAAGAATTTATTATTTTAGAAGAAGAAGAAGAAGAAGAAGAAGAAGAAAAAAATTTCACGAATAACGTGTGCATACATACATACATACGTACCATACATACATACGCACACACACGCACTTATATATATATATATATACGTATATATATATATATATATATATATATATATCTCAAGGATCTCAATTGACAATTCTTCCTCGTCACGCTTCCTCCCATACCATCGCTTTTCTCCTTCACATTTCTTGTTATTCTCCAACCAACCAACATCATCCGTTCTTGGACTCTTTGCGGACAATCCGTTATTGGTTGTGTTATCTGAGGAAGAACGAAAGATAAAGCTCTTGACAATTCGAGGTTTCGAAGTTTAATTAGTGTGAACCGTGCAACACCTGTAGATTATTTATTCCCTTATTACGCACAAAAATTCTGCCTTTTTTGTTTTCCGGGTGATTTTCCCCTATAACTTCAACCTCCATCTTCTCTTTTTTGACCATTTCTTTCTAATTAGTTTCCCATAATACATTGCTGAATAAACACGATATTTCTCAATAAAAGGTTTTCATATCCTCTTCTCCCGCAACTCAAATAAACCGTCCCCACTTTTTTTTTCTTAAAACCGAGTGTGCGTGTGCGTATACTCAATTCTGTTATTGTTTTTATCAAGTATATATATATATATATATATATAAACCTGGTTTATCGGTATTTTTTTTTTTTTTTTTTGCACACACAGTATACTGTGCGTGCGAGTATAGAGTATACTAAGAATTAGACTACGTATATATATATATACATACCGGGTACTGTAAATACTATTTTAAAAAAAAAAAAAAGCCGTCGCACAAAACCTGTTCTGTACGCATATAAAACTATAAAACAAACATCCCCGTAACGGCCGGCATCTAGACATCTAAAACTACCTCAAATCCTCAAATCGTTATTTTTTTTTTCCTCCCTTGAATAGCAAAAAAAAAAAAAAAAAAAATTATCTCATCCCCTAAAAATTTTTTTTCTTCTCTTTTTTTTTTTTTTTCCGTTCACAATAAAAATATCCCCCCTTCGCTTCCCTCAAGTCGCGTCAAAGATAATTTTCTTTCGTACCTATCAATAATTATCAATCAATACACCTTTTTCTCTCTCAAAAAAAAAAAAAAAAAGTTAATAATCGGTTATACTGCACACAAGATTTTCATTATAACAACAAGAATATGAGTATTGAACCCACCTTTCAAGGGTATATCGAAACCACGCAAGATACTCTTCTCATTTTTGAGGCATGTAGAAGGACGATGCTCACCAAGATATGTCGACGTTTGCAGGAAAAGGAACGTAAGATCGTGACCTCCGGTAGCGTGTTTGTTTTCGACGAACGCGAATCGGGAATAAAACGCTGGACTGACGGTCTAGTATGGAGCCCCTCACGGATTCTGGGAAACTTTCTTATTTACCGTGAACTAGACAAACGAGTTCAGACAGGAAAGAAAGATTCGTCACCGACGGAGAGACAGCGTAGTAACAGCACCGATATGGAATCCCAAGCTGAAAAAAATAAGGAACGCGCCTTGGTGGGCAGTCTCACCAACTCGTACCGATTTAAGAAAGGAGGTTTAATCAAGAAAACAATGTCTATCATGGTTAATGGTGTCAGTCAACATATGATAAGCTATTACACCAAGGAAGATGTGATAGCTCACAAACTCAAGACCCCTTCCTCCATACCGTCCTTGGCGATTCTTGAAATCGCTCCGGAATTCTTGTTGAAACAAAATTTTAGGATACCACCGGTGATAGAGTCTACTTATGAACAAGGTGACCTAAAATTCTTTCATGTTTCAGGGAATTGATCTTTTTTTTTGCCTGTGTGCTCACAAATCTTCTACCATCATCGTTACTCACAGATCTAGAAGGGATATCTTACGGGAAATCCTCGTCGACAGTCTCATCGGCTTCACCGCACGCCATCCTCCCCAAGCCTGGCGGGGGTACCGTGAGTCCATCACGACTGACAAGTATGGAGCTTGTACCTTCTCGCATAAAAATTGAGATGGAGAATGTGAATTCTTCGAACGTTGAGATTTATCGACCGACATCCTATTATCCCAGTTCCAATTCCTCCAATTATCATTCAGTCGTGCATTCCCATTATGCATCATCACCTTACGCTACGCCGAATCATCATCACGTTGCGAGTCCGAACGGCGTTAACGGAGCTCACACGCTGCCGATGCCATCGATGCGTTCTTACATTAATCGTCAGGCTTCATACCACGAGTACCCACCACCGCCACGTCTGCTGACGTCGCCATCGTCGCAATCCAATCAACCTTTAATACCAAGCATTGGGTCTCATCAAAATGATTACAACAACTATTACCACTCATCATCACCGCAAAGTTATCCATCGTCACCGCAGAATTATCCCACTTACTCATCGCACTCCTCAACGCATGCGAACAATTCCCCCGCCACTTCCACTCACGGAAGTAATCATATGATATCACAGCAACAACAGCCACCGCTACCACCACCGTCATCACAGCAGCAGACCAGTGGTCACCTTCACGCTGACACAGGTGGCGAGGTGTTTTACGCCGCTGGCAATGATACCACCACCACCACCACCACCCAGGCGTTTAACACCCTTGGTCAGGTCCCTTTGTATGCCACCGGTAATCCGTATAATGACCTGTCGTCAAGTATTCCCGATCTGTATAATACCTTAAACTCACCTTCGCCACCAACCTCCGCACCGCAATCCCATCAACACCACGAACATTTAGTCGGCTCACCATCTCCCACGCTCCCGGCCATCTCCTCGCCAACAAGCACGGCCAGCATAACCAACAACAGTTCGAGCAATGCACCCGTGACCCCTCCGCTCAGTTCACCGAATAATACCGCCACCATTGTTAATCCTGGCAATGGGGGGAATCAAAATATATTTGGACCGTATTACTCGTCATTAATAAAGAACGAGGGTTATCCTTCGTCCGTTTCCAATAACTTTATGTATGATGCTTATTGGGAGATGAGAAATTGAATGGTTTATTTTATTCTCGTTGATGCCAAACAAAAAAAAAAAAAATCAAATCAAATAAAAATAAATAAATAATAAAAGAATAATAATAATAATAATAATAATTCGGAAATTTTAGTTAAAAAAAAAAAAAAAAAGAAAAGAAAAGAAAAAAAAGAAAAAAAAAAAAAAAAAGAGAGAAAAAAGAGAACTCGGTGGAATTTCTAGGTAGTCGGCAGTTGCAGAATGTGCGGATTTGGTAATATTAAAAAAAAAAAGAAAAAAGAAAAAAAACAAAAAAAAAACAAAATAAAATGGTAACAATCGGACCGCTCAAAAAAAAAAAAGGGAATTCAAAAAGGCAATAATAAGCATCAGTTCGTTTTTTTTTTTTTTTTTTTTTTTGTAATATAGTCAAAATCTCGGGCTGCTTATGGTGTGAAGGATTTTGGTGGTTCGTTTGCTTCCCTTAAACAAAAAAAAAGAAATACTTTTTTTTTTTTTCTCTTGTATTATTTGTATAGTTTCCCTGTAAAATTTTCTTTTTCCTAATTTCGCAAAAAAATTTTTTTTTCTTTCGATTCCTTGTCTCTAATAGTCCAAGGAGAGATCAGAGATTCACATGGTTCTCGCAGAGATATGAATACGGTCGCGCAAAAAAAAAAAAAAAAAAAAAAAAAAAAATCCAACTTTCCCTCGTAAGATGATCAACCGATCAATTTTCCCTTTTCTCTCCGAAGAAATCAATATGGAACCAAAAAATAGTACGGCTTATCGTATTGTGATAAAAAAAAAATAACGGGTTTAATTTAGCATCAGTCGCTCCACACCGGAATCGTGTGCGAGTGACACGTCAGAAATTCGCTTCTTTCGGATGTACGTAAAATTTTGTCTGAACGTTGTCAGACTTGTAAACAGTTAGGCCTTCGAGTTTCAAGAATATAAAAATCATTAAAAAAATTGGGTATTCCGTGCTTACCTGCGAAAATCATGTTACAAAGGGAACGTGTGCGTTACAAGTGGATAGAGTAAACAAACCTCCATAATAATTGACAAAGGTAAATAACAATAAATAGATCGGTTTCGTGTGGGGGTTGATCTAAAAAAAAAGATTAATAAATATCCGCGTGTGTGTGTGTGTGTGCGCTGTATTTGGTTTCATCGTGTGCGTGCAAATCCGACCATCACCAACAAACTAGACGGAGAAAGGTTTCGCACTTTGGGGAGGGAAGATTTTTCCAATTTTAAGTTAACGAAAAAACACATTTACTATAAAAAGAAGATACAATAAATACATGCTAAATGCAGTAATTAAAATAACTGATCAAATTATCAATTTTTCCGCTATTTTTATCAATACGCACATAATACGTATGCAATGACTTGGTGCGTACGTGGTGGGTTGAATGAAATGGTTAGAGCGTAGCTCACGCATGCAAGGGAATCTGCACTGCTAGATTAACCACGAGCCGAGCTTCTTTTCAAGGAATCTTCACCGGCTGACGTTTGGCGATCGGCCTGCACTCAATGACACGGTGAAAGAGAGTGAGAGAGAGAGGGGTGGGGGGTTAACAATTTTTTTTTTTTTTTTTTTTTTTTGTGCCAGCATCATCACGTGATCGGAGCAAGTTTCATGTCTTTAATCACCACTGCGCGCGCGTGGTTGCACCAGGTCCCGATTTCGCGTGAAAATACAATGATTCGAGTGCCGACATTTAACCATTCCATAGGGACGGGCATCATCTATTGTTTGGCTATTCACTACTATGCTCATTGTTGGTCTAATCCTGAATGCATATTATGTAATTTTTTTTCTCACCTTTTATTTATTATTTGGATTGCATAATCATCGGGACATCTATTCCGCAGATACTTCTCGGTGATTATGTAACCCCAGCTGAGAATTCGCATCGACACCATAATCCGTTAACGATAGACTCGCGAACTCAATTTTCGGCTAAGGATAAGACCTCTTTCTGAGTTTGTTCAGTAGGAGGTTAACACGTCGCGTTTGATCAGTGGTCACTTCCGTTAGTCCTAACGTTTTCAACTTTGATCTATTTACAATCCCGGGAAGGGATTAAGAACTTGCATGAAGAAAAGAAGGAATTTTTCCTCCGGGTTACCGTAGGAAAGAACCCTCTCATTCCACACGAGAATACGGTGATGGTTGTTGTGTCCTCCTCCCCGATCGGAGAATAGCGTGTCACCGCCGATTCCAGTTCCCTGGTAGATGGGTAACAGAAATACAATAGTCCAGTTCTGCATTATTGTGATTACTGTGAAAAGACAAGACGCGTTCGCATATCGAATTAAGCTTATTCTACCCATTGGGTAAGCGGCGTGCAATCATTTCAATTTTCCATTTTAGACTTGAGATAAAATTTCCGAATGCGCGAATGCGATTTTAGGAGGAAAAAACATCGCTTGATGCGATGACGTCAACATTGCGAATGCATGATCAATTTCCAACCCCGGCAATAGTACAAACATTCACGAGTCACGCCTAAAAAGAAAACGTCACCTCAAATTTTACGTGCAACGTTATACAAGGTGAATCCTTCAATTAATGCGCACGCACTGTATACGAATCTTGGGGTCTAACGACGACGACTCGGAGGAGATCCGCCCGTCCTTTGGGGAAAAAAGCGCGACGAAATCTTGTACGCGTCTACGCGATCTATTAATAGCTTTTAATTGAACCTAAATTTGGATCAAGCTAAGCTGCGAAGGTAGGTTTTAAAAAAAATAAAAAAAAAAAACTTTGCAAAAGAGGTAATGGGTGTTATTTAAGGTTACGCAAAAGTCATGCAGGCGATGTAGAGGCCAATCATTTAATCGTAGCATACTCGTACACATTACGATAACGATAGTAATACACCCACCTTCCACTCGCACACACGCAAGTATCTTGAATGAATATGCGAAATTGGAGGTACCATTTTCAGCACCTTTAGTGACTCCGCCTAATCTAAATAAGTACATATTTCGGCCAGTTATTACCACAGTCTACTCCAATGGTATTCAAGTATGTGGCATCCGTTTCGTAAAACAACACGGAACCATTCAGGAGAATTCTATTGTCACGCAATTTCTCCAATGAAGTAAATTCCTCCCTTCGTACACATTACTGCACGGCCAGGGCGTCCTCGCACCCTAATGCAATTACAATAAAAAATAATAATAATATAATGTAAATATAATAAATAAATAAATAAATAAATAAATATATATATATATATAAAATAATCATTATCATGTTTTCACTCGATTATTGTCACTGCAATGTACTCTGTAATATATGATGACACCCTAACCCGAATATCAACATCTTTTAAATACTTAGGGCGGGCGACGACATGTTCTGTATGACTGGCCATTATAACAATCATTATCGCTCCCGTTTTAGCAATTAGCCCTCAATTGCAATGGTGCGCACAAATATACAGTATGTCCCGAATCGCCAAAGTGAGGTTAGCATGACACTGGCGCGGTCATCTCTTGGGCAAAAGTTTTTCCCCTCGAGAAATTTTGGGGATTCATATTGCGGATCGTTCTGTGTCGTTAAACAAAATGCGTCTCCCCCCCCCCCGAAAATTTGTCTTAATGATTAGGCATGCAGATTCCATTGATCGCATTTAAAAAAAGATTATTTCCTCAAACACAGCCGAAAATGAACGTTCAAATATGGCAATTTGACTCGAGTATTATCTCGCAAACGTTAGATCCGAACACATATAATGTTCGCAAACGCACACACGAATACCTATATATAATGCGTACACACACACACTCGAATATGCTCCTGTATATGATGCACATCTTTATGTAATGCACGCACACGTACTATTTGGATCCAGGAATCCCTGAATGTGAACACTAAGACTCTTATTACCACGACATGGCCGCAACTTTCACAATAGCTTTGCTAAAATAATGTAATTTGCCTGGCTACGATTTCTCGCTCGTTCAACATAATTACCAAAATTACAAATTAATAATACCATTTTGTCGATGTTGTGCCATCATCTGACGTCGGCTTAATGCTAGCATGAAGCATCCGACTATCAATTTGGCGTTTTCAGAGTAACTTTATAGAAAGAAATCAAATTTGTGACTTATCTTGGATGTAAATAACAATTAGGCCAAGCCATGTAATAATAATAGCACTATCATTGTCCATTATTATCGTTTAATAATAATAGTAATACCTCTTTTTTTTTTTTTTTTTTTGAAAAAAAAAAAAAAAAAAAAAAAATCCTCACTTATTTATATTTTAACAATATTATTATTTTCTATTTAAACATTTAATCTAGTGACCATATACAGTAGAAAAAAAAAACACATTTT